GGCTGGATTCGAACACGCCAGCTCAGGTGTACGTGGCTGGCTCCCTATACGTTTGAGCCACAGATGCCGAGCCCAGAGACCCTGCTCTTAAACACAAGGCCAGATGGGAGGCCAAGGTCAAGTTTGAAGAGAGGTACAATCAAGCAAGAATAAGTGGTTCTTCCAGAACCAGCAGCTTTAGGTGTTTCATTTCAGTCATCAAAAATATTTTTAAAATTATGTTTGATACAATTGCATATTTATCTATTTATACGTTATTTATATATACAATATATACAATTATATTTATTATTTATTTGTTTGTTTGTTTTATCTTTTTGTTTTTTGAGACAGTCTCCCTTTGTTTCCCTTGATGGAGTGCCATGGTGTTGGCTCACAGCAACTTCAAACTCTTGGGCTCAAATAATTCTCTTGTTTCAGCCTTCCAAGTGGCTGGGACTACAGGTGCCCACCACAACACTCAGCTGTTTTTAGAGTCAGAGTCTCATTCTTGCTCAGGCTGGTCTCAAACCCATGAGCTCAGGCAATCCACCCACCTCAGCCTCCCAGAGTGCTAGGATTATAGGTGTTAGCCACCATGACCAGCCTCACATTTTAGCTTTTTATATATTAGGCACATCAACCAATGAGATCCAAGTAGCAAATATTTTTCCTGGTTTTTCATGAATTTCCTGACTTTGCCAGGCTGAACAATATATTGTCTACCAAAACGAGAGCTGACTGAGGGGACTTGGAATCTCACAGATTTGGGTCCAAAGTCCATATTAGTTGTGTGACCTCAGATGAATCACCCAACCTCTCTGAGCCTTGGTGCTGCCTCTGTCAAGGGAAGATAACAACAGTCCCTGCTTCTCAGGGCTCCAGAAGAATTCAGCAAGAGTCTACACAAGGACCTTTCTGGAGTGGATGTCCCTAATGTCAATGAGCCATTAACCCTTCCCCAAAGCCTATAGAGCATCTCTTGTGTGCAGTCCCTGTCCCATCCACCTCAGTAAAGCAGAACTCAGAAGCAGAGGCGAGAATAGCTTCTTTATTAAGAGTCACAACCACAGAGGCTGGGCATAGATGGCTCATTCCAGAGTCATGCGGAAGACAATAAAGGCTGAGTGATGTAGGCACAGGCCACGGAGGAAAGGTGCTCAGGGTAGTCAACGCTGGGCTCAGGCCAGCCCTTGTCCTGGGGGGTTTAGAACACTATCAATCCAGTCTCGGAAGAGCGCCACTCGGGTGAAGAAGTCAGGGCCCTTGCCACAGGGATTCGGGGAGAAGGAGGCCACGCCATGTGCCAGGCCGTTGCAGATGAGCGGGGTGCCTCCATCCCCCTGTCCAAATGGGAGGCATGTCAGGGCATCCCCAGGGGGCCCAAGATCCCCATTTCTCTAACCCTAGAACTGCTGAGCTTTCTTGCTGGAACCCACAAACCCTCTTCCAATTCCAGGTCCTTTGCATATATCTTTCCCACCACTCTGGGCCTGGTTAACTTCTAACTGAATTTTAGGTTCATTGGCTCCGGGAACTCCCAGGACCATCAAGCCAGGTCAGGCATCCCCCTCCCCTGGCAATCACAATATTTGCTTCCCACAAACCCTGGAGTCTGAGAACTCCAAAAGTGTAGGCTTTGCTTATCCCAGCACAGGGACTTGGCACACAAGAAGAGTTTAATAAATACTGTTTCTCATACTGTTAAAATGCTGGGTTCTGAGGCCCCCACCCCCACCGGCTGTGTCACCCTTGGCTTGGACTTGCTTCCTCCCATCCCAAGGAGCTTTTTATCTCAAAACACCTCCTCCCTCCACAAGAAGCCTACGCCAGGTCTGTCCTGGCCCATACCTGGCAGATTCCACCCCGGCGGGTGAGCACACCAGTACACAGATTGTTAGGGCGGCACCGATTCTCAGGGGTCACGGTCACATTGACAACTCTTGGGAAGCGAGAGAGGCGCCCCCCATTCTTTCGGTTCCCCCAGCCAGCCACCTGGCAGCTGGTGCCGGCTTCCACCATGGCATTCTGTGGGGGCAGTGGCACCAGCACCACATTGCTAGTAAGGTTGGCCTCACGGTCCAGCTGGAGAGGGAAGCTGAGTCAGTGGAGAGTGGAATGAAACTGGAGCCTCATGAGCCAAAGCTGGGAGCAGGAGTGTTAACAGCATGAATTTTGGTGTGTGAGTGGTTTGAGTTCAAATCCTTGCTGGGACAGTAACCTGCTGTGGGACCCTGGTGAAGTCACTTTACCTCTCTGGGCTTCTGTTTTTTCCCCCATAGAAAAATAATAATAAACAAAAAAAAAAAAAAGAAAGAAAGAAAAATAATAAACAATTCCTACTCTGCAGGTAGTTAAGAGTATAAAACAAGGGCAGTGCCTGTGGCTCAGTGGGTAGGGCGCTGGCCCCATATACTGAGGGTGGCGGGTTCAAACCCAGCCCCAGCTGAACTACAAACAAAAAAATAGCCAGGGCATTGTGGTGGGCACCCGTAGTTCCAGCTATTCAGGAGGCTGAGGCAAGAGAATCGCCTAAGTCCAGGAATTAGAGATTGCTGTGAGCTGTGTGACACCATGGCACTTTACGGAGGGCAATAAAGTAAGACTCTGCCTCTAAAAAAAAAAAAAAAGAAGAGTAGAAAATGAGACCCACAGAAAGTGCAAACAAAATAACTAGGTACAAATTCTACCATCACATTTGGCAAATTTTTTTTTTTCGGCTGGGGCTGGATTTGAACCCGCCACTGCCACCTCCAGTATATGGGGCCAGTGCCTTACTCCTTTGAGCCACAGGCACTGCCTGGTAAAAAATTTTTAAATTGGCTTGGCGCCTGTGGCTCAAACGGCTAAGGCACCAGCCACATACACCTAAGGTGGCAGGTTCGAATCCCCAGCCCGGGCCCGCCAAACAACAATGATGGCTGCAACCAAAAAAAAAAATGGCCAGGCGTTGTGGCGGGCGCCTGTAGTCCCAGCTACTTGGGAGGCTGAGGCAGGAGACTCGCTTGAGCCCAGGAGTTGGAGGTTGCTGTGAGCGTGATGCCATGGCACTCTACCCAGAGGGATAGCTTGAGGCTCCGTCTCAAAAAAAAAAAAAAAAAAAAGAGATAGAGACATACAAAAACACTTGGAAACAATTTCAGCATTCACCCACAGGGGTCTAGAGACTGGACTGTGATACATCTGTATCCTTTGCTGCAGTTTTTGAGTCCAAGTGCACCAGGCTCTAGTGCCCCACTACTGCTCACCTGCAGCAGCAGCAAGTCATTCAGGTTCTCCTGGGGGTCGTATCTGTTCTCACTGATGCTCCCAATGGAAAATGTTTGCCGTGATCGCTCCCGCCGCCTCAGGTCATAGGCTCCCAGCACAACCATGGCTACTCCCGGGTTCCTGAGGGCAGTGGAGGGAAGAGGGGAAACAGAGACTGGAGGCAGCCAGGGAGCAAATAAGGTGGGGGAAGGTTCAGGCCTGGTGTCAAAGGGTGGAGGCCAGCATTACTACCATCCTTCCTTGCCCCCCACCTTGCATCCCCTCCTTCTACAACAGAGAAGCTGGGACCCTCAAGGCCCTCTCCCTATCCCTGAGCCCCCTCACAGGTTCCGGAAGCAGCTGGCTGCAGTCAGCACGAAGCGTGTGTGGATCAGGGCGCCCCCGCAGAAGTGCCTCCCCTCGTTCTGAATCGAGGCCAGGAACGGGAACTCAAGGCGCCTAGCCTTCCGGCCACCCACAATGTCCACAAGGGGTGCCAAGCCTGGGTAGGGATGCAGGAGGCAGCTCTGAAGACCTCTGGGAGCCCCCACATAGTGTGTGTGGGGGGTTATTGGAAGCCACAGCCCCATCCACCCAATGGGAACACGAGGAGACCCCCACCTTCCTTACCCTCCTGCTCCATAAGTAAGAGGACAGGTAGCCCCCCTAGTCCCATACTCCCACCCGACACTGTCTGGGGCCACTCTGGCTGTGTGATCTGGGCCGGGTTGCTTTCCATCTCTGTTCCTTGAATCCTGGGGTATAGGAGGTAGTGTTCAGTTCCTCCTACCCAGGTCTCTGCCCCTAGAGCCAGACCTGGACATCCAGCACGGATTAGAGAAAGCTGGATGCAGACAGGCACTCACCAGCCCTTGCGGACACCAGAAGGCCAGCCAGCAGGGCCAGGAGTCTGAGAGGGGGCATGGTGGGGCAGCTCGTTGGCTGGGGCAGGAACAGCCCTTATATCCAGACAGTTGGCAGCAATGCCCCCAACCGAGGCCCAGCCCTGCACTGCAGGAACACAGGAAGTTTCCCAAGACCTCTGCCACCAACTGCTCTAGGGCCAGCCTGGACTCTCCCAATGGCCCACTCTGACCCTCAGTTTTCCCTCCAGGTATAGGGAAAGATTAGTCCTTTCCAGTCCAGCCCTGGGTAGGCTTGCCACAGGCAACTAGCCAACATTCCCAAATTGTGAGTGCTACTCCTTTGGCAGCTCTGGCCTCGGTTTCCCCTTCCTCAGCTACTAAAGGCCACCACTGCCCACTGGTCCTGGTGCCCACGGAGCTCAGAACATTGAAATCAGCAGGCCGAGGTTTGAGTCTGGCTGGCCTATGTATGCATTCTTTTTTTTTTGTTTTTTTTTTTTGAGACAGAGCCTCAAGCTGTCCCCCTGGGTAGAGTGCCGTAGCATTACAGCTCACAGCAACCTCCAACTCCTGGGCTCAAGCGAGTCTCCTGCCTCCGCCTCCCAAGTAGCTGGGACCACAGGCGCCCGCCACAACGCCTGGCCATTTTTTGGTTGCAGCCGTCATTGTTGTTTAGCGGGTCCGGGCTGGGGATTCGAACCCGCCACCTTAGGTGTACGTGGCTGGCGCCTTAGCCGGTTGAGCTATAGGTGCCTAGCCTATGTATGCATTCTATTATTATTTTTACTTTTCAACAGTTTGAAATGTGATTCACATACCCCACAAGCCACTCTTAAAGTCCACAGTTCAGTAGTTTTTAGTATCCATACAGAGTTGTGCAACTACCACCACAGTCAGTTTTAAGACATTTTCATCACCCTCAAAAGAAACCTCCTACCATTAGCTACCACCTCTAATCCCCCAGCCCTTGGCAACCACAAATCCACTTTCTATCTCTGTAGATTTGCCTATTCTGGACATTTTGTATAAGAGGAATCAGATACTAGGTGACCTTTTTTTGCTTTTTTGTTTATTTTATTTTAGGGTCTCACTATATTGCCCAGGTTGGCCTCAAATTCCTAGGTTCAAGTGATCCTCTCATCTCAGTCTCCCATGTAGTTGGGATTATAGGCGTAAACCACAACACATGATCTTGTGACCTTTTTTTGTCTGGCCTCTCTCACTGAGCATCCAATAGGACTTTCTCTATGGGAACCTGGGCAGGTCACTTGACATTCTCAGTTGCTGCATGTGTAAGATAGGGTAGTGGCCATCCCCTCATTGAAGCAAAATCTTCAGAGCTTTTAGGCACCCAGGATCTTGGCAAGAGGTGGAGATGAGAAAAACAAGATTGGGCGGTGCCTGTGGCTCAGTGAGTAGGGTGCTGGCCCCATATACTGAGGGTGGCAGGTTCAAACTCGGCCCCGGCCAAACTGCAACAAAAAAATAGCGAGGCATTGTGGCAGGTGCCGGTAGTCCCAGCTACTCGGGAAGCTGAGGCAAGAGAATCACCTAAAGTCCATGAGCTGGAGGTTGCTGTGAGCTGTGATGCCACTGTACTCCACCGAGGGCAACAAAGTGAGAGACTCTGTCTCTAAAAAAAAAAAAAAACAAGATTGAGTACCCAGAATATACAAAGATTCTTGTAATTGAAAAAAGACAAATGACTCAATTTAAAAAATGGGCAAAGGACTTGAATTGATACTTCTCCAGAGACAATGCATAAATGGCCAAGAAGCACAGGGAAAGATGTTCAAAATCTTTAGTGACTAGGGAAAAGTAAATCAAAACCACAATGAGATAACATTTCATGCTCAGTAGGATAGCTACAAGATGTTGGTCAGGACATGGACAAGTTAGAAACCTTGTACATGGTTGGTGAGAATGTAAAACAATGCATCCACTTTGGAAAACAGTCTAGTAGTTCCTCAAAAAAGGAAACAGAGTTTCATATCACCCATCAATACCATACCACTCCTAGGTGTATGTTCAAAAGAAATGAAACTAGAGTTTCTTTTTTTTTTTTTTTTTTGAGACAGAGCCTCAAGCTATCCCCCCTGGGTAGAGTGCTGTGGCATCACAGCTCACAGCAACCTCCAACTCCTGGGCTCAAGCCAGTCTCCTGCCTCCGCCTCCCAAGTAGCTGGGACCACAGGCACCCGCCACAATGCCCAGCTCTGTTCTGGTTGCAACCGTCTTTGTTGTTGTTTGGCAGGCCCCGGCTGGATTTGAACCCACCACCTTAGGTATGTGGCTGGTGCCCTAGGCACTTGAGCCACAGGTGCCAAGCCAAAACTAGAGTTTCAAATAAATACTTGCACCTGAATGTTCGCAGCAGCATTATCCATAATAACCAAAAGGTGGAATCAACCTAGATATCCATCCACAAATGAATGAATGGACAGACAAGATGATATCCATTTACACACTAGAATATCACTCAGCCATGAAAAAGGAGGAGGCTCTGAAGTACGCTACAAGGTGGATGGACCCTGAGCATGTTGTGCTCAGTGAGAGAAGCGAGACACAGAAAGACACACAGTCTAAGATTCCATATATATAAAATGTCCAGGACAGTGCCTGTGGCTCAGTGAGTAGGGTATCAGCCCCATATACTAAGGGTGGTAGGTTCGAACCCGGCCCTGGCCAAACTGTAACAAAAAAATAGCTGGGCATTATGACAGGTGCCTGTAGTCCCAGCTACTAGGGAGGCTGAGGCAAGAGAATCACTTAAGCCCAAGAGCTGGAGGTTGCTGTGAGCTGTGACGCCACGGCACTCTACCAAGGGTGACAAAGTGAGATTCTGTCTCTAAAAAAAAAAAAAGTCCAGCCTCAGCGCCCATAGCTCAGTGGTTAGGGTGCCAGCCACATACACTCAGGCAGGCGGGTTTGTCAAACCTGGCCCAAGCCTGCTAAACAACAATGACAACTGCAACAACAACAACAAAAAATAGCCAGACGTTGTGGCAGGTGCCTATAGTCCCAGCTACTTGGGAGAGTGAGGCAAGAGAATCCCTTAAGCCCAAGAGTTTGAGGTTGCTGTGAGTTGTGACACCACAGCACTCTACCAAGGGCGACATAGTAGGACTCTTGTCTCAAAAAAAAAAAAAAAAGAACAGTCAGATCTACAGAGATGGGAAGTGGATTTGTTGTTGCCAGGGGCTGGGGAGTGTGTGGGAAGTGACTGCTAATGAGTATGGGGCTTGCTTTTGGGGTGATGGAATGTTCTGGAATTAGAAGTGAGGGTTGGACTACATTGTGAATATATTAAAAACCACTGGAGTGGCTCGGTGCCTATAGCTCAACCGGCTAAGGCGCCAGCCACGTACACCTAAGGTGGCGGGTTCGAATCCCC